CTTTGGGAAGCCGAGACGGGCGGATCACGAGGTCAGGAGATGGAGACCATCCTGGCTAACACAGTGAAATCCCATGTCTGCTAAAAAATACAAAAAACTAGCTGGGCGAGGTGGCAGGCGCCTGTAGTCCCAGCTACACGGGAGTTTGAGGCAGGGGAATGGCATAAACCTGGGAGGCGGAGCTTACAAGGAGCTGAGATCTGGCGGCTGCACTCCAGCCCGGGTGACAGAGCAAGACTCCGTCTCAAAAAAAAAAAAAGAGAACATAGAAGTATAGGAAAATTAAAGATACTAACTGATAATCACTTAATGATTTAGTATCTGCTTGTTTAGTCTTTGTTATATTTACTGTAGACAAACATATCTGCAATTGTAAATTTATTATTGGTATGTATACCCTAGTAAGTTAAAAGTTATATGTACTTTGAAGTTTTGCAAAGTTGAGTTCATATTATAGAATTAATTCCTGATGAACTTTTACGTGCTAGGCACTAGTCTTTTTATTTATTTATTTATTTATTTATTTTTACTTTTTTCCCCCCTCTGTGCCTATGCTTACCAAGTCTTTTTAATTTTTACTTTTTATTTACTCTTTCAATCCTCTTAAGAACTTAAAAAGAGGGTATTACTAATATCTGCATCTTGTGGATGAGGTAACTCAAGGTCGGTAACTTATCCAAGGTCACAGGTGGCAGAGCAAGGATTAAAACCAGACAGTCTGGCTGCCCAAGGCCCAACCAAGAGGAGCTGAGAGCCTGCACGGGGCAGGAGGATATTGGTGAGGCTGATTTCGTGTTTAGTTAACATGAAACGCAGGCTGTAATCTTCATTCCAGGACATTACCGAGAAAGCCTTCCAAAGCCATAGGGTTTTTACTATAAGCATGACTTTTAGCAAGAGTTTGTGGTTTAAAGGCCACATGGTGCTCTAACAAGCTTCTGTTCACGCTTATGGAGGGACTGGTAGTTGAGCTAAATAGTGAAATCCTGGAGCACACAGCCTTTAGGGCAGGTTCTGACCTATTTCTGTGGTGAGGAAAGACACCTGTCTTTCCTTGCTGCCCACAGCCTCCAGTTATTCACCTTCAGATTTTAATCTTCTGTGATCACATTCAGATGAGAGATCTGTTTTGTTTTTTCCAGGGTAGGAGGAAGTGAGTCACCAACAATACTAAGCAGTCTAGTCTTCTGTGTATAAATGAGCAAGGTTGGGCAAGCAAATTTGAGAACCTTGTGTAATTCTGAGATTCTCCAAGAGAATTCAAGAGAATGTCAGGATTACGCTTGGTGGTAAAGTGGGCTTATGTTAGTTGTGTCCACAGCTCTCATCAGAAGCAGACACAGATACTTTCTGTAGGAAATTATCTCTAACTTAAGCCCGTAGTATTCCCGAAGATTAAGAGCAGGCAACTAGGAATTCAGTGAAATCATAGCATTCAAGTAGTCAACCCAACATACTTGAGAATGATCAGAAACAATGAAT